ATCACTGGTAGTAATGAGGGCCAGACTTTCATTTTCTATTAAATGGTGTGGTTGGATTTATTCTGAGGTGATTTACACCAAGTTCCTGACTCAGCACATCCACAGCACCCATCCTGGATGTGATTTATAGCAGCTTCTAAAGTAAAAACTAGATGGCTTTGATCCAATTGATTTCTTTGAGTCCAACAGGATAAATAAGCAGGCACCAGACCAGGTCTTTGAAGAGCAAAGGGTGGTTATTATAATTTTTAATTATATTTTTTTGCCTCGATATCTCTCTGTGCTCTTTCTCTCTGCATCTAGAAATGGATATCAGGCTGTGCCAAGTGCCAAGTGTGGCTTTGGCCCTGGATAGATTTTATCCTGATCTTGCATTCAGTGCTGTGCTGTCAGCTTTTCTGCCATGGGAGTGTGAGACCGGGAGCAGCATCCAGGGAGAGTTATTTGTTTTCTGATACTTTCCCTGGGGTTTCCTGTTCTTGTCGTCTCTCTGATTTATTTTCCTTTTCTATTTTTTTTCCCTGTTTTATTTTTCTTTTGGATGAGGTTACTTCAGTTGATGTATGGCCCAGATCTGTCCTAGTCTACTTTGAAAGCTGGGAAATGAGTAAAGCTGGACTTTGGGATTGGAAGTGATGTTAAGGCAAATGTTTTCAGACTTCTGAAGGCAGCTGAGATTTCTTGGGGCAGGGGGTGCCTGTGGGTGTGCACAGATGTGATGATTTCAGCAGGAGAGCTCTGACCATTTCTGGTTGGTGTGAAAGGCTGCAAAGCTGAGGAGAGAGTTAAGGATGAAAGGCCAGGCTGGGAGAGCTGGGCTTGTTCGTCCTGGATTAAAAAAAAGTCTCTAGGGAGACCTGAGAGCCCCTTGCAGTGCCTAAAGGGGCTCCAGAGCTGGAGAGGGACTTTGGAAAAGGCATGGAGGGACAGGACAAAGGGGAAATGGCTTTAAACTGACAAAGGGCAGGGTTGGATCAAATATTGGGAGGAAATTCTTCCCTGTGAGGTTGGCGAGGCCCTGGCACAGGTTTCCCAGAGTAGCTGTGGCTGCCCCATCCCTGGAAGTGTCCAAGGCCAGGTTGGATGAGAAATGGAGCAACCTGGGATAGTGGAAGGTGTCCCTGCCCATGGCAGGAGTGGAACTGGATGATCTTTAAGGTCCCTTCCAACCCAAACCACTCTATGAGGCAAAGGGGAAGGGCTTTAAACTGCCAGAGGGCAGGGTTGGATTAAATATTAGGAAGAAATTCTTCCCTGTGAGGGCAGCAAGGTGCTGGAACAGTTTGTTCAGAGAAGCTGTGGCTGCCCCATCCCTGGAATTGCTCAAGGCCAGGCTGGACAGGGCTTGGAGCAACTTGGTCTAGTGGGAGGTGTCCCTGCCCATGGCAGTGGGTTGGAACTGGATGATCTTGAAGGTCCCATCCTGGCCAAACCATTCTATGATTCTATAATAGAAATTAAAAGCTTAAAAAATATAAGACAAGTTAAAAAAAAAAGGTGTAAGAATTTTATTCTTCAGAATGGTGAAAATTAATAAAAAGGAAAATTTAGAGTCTCCTAAAACTGAAATAAATCCTAACGGTATTGGTTTGTTACTAGCTGGAAATGACAGATTTATTTATAATAATGCAGAAATTTCAATAAACTCCTGTATTCTGTAATTGGAAGAGAGCCTGGTTACTTAATCCACATCCCAGGCTAATGAAATACTTGTCATTACAGCAGCAGCTTGAACACATGCTATACATCATCTAATAAAGTGAGATGTGTGGAAGAGAAACAGGACAGAGCAATTTTGTGTGCAAGGATTTTAAAAGAGCAGGTTTAAGACTAATTGGGGATCATTGCTCTTTAGGAAAAGAAAGGTAGAAGGATTCCCAAAATCAGGACAGAGGAGAATGTGCCTGTGAGAGCAGCGGCCTCACATCTGTCTTAGGCACAATAACACAACATCTGATAGAGGATCCAAAAATTAGGGGATTGTGGGTAATATTATGATTATAATTGAATAATAGCACGCTCATTAATACAGAGGAATTAATAGCAATCAACTTATGGAAAATAGATTTTGTCAAGCTCAATTAATACTTTCTATGAGAATACAGAGCTGGTTGGTAGAGTCTGAATATTTGTCATTATTTGTACACATCATAAATACGGCATTTTTTTTCTGGGTGACAGTGAATAAACAGAACAACTAAATAATGCAGATCTTGGAAATATGAGCAGTTCATATAGGGGAATTTGGTTTTCCTCTGGGATTGGCCTTGGATCTCCCAGTCCCTTCCAAGAAGGATGTTGGTGAATGGCAGAAGGTGGATGGAAGAGACCAGAGAACAACACCGGGACTTGAGAACCTCCAAGAGATAATGTGACTTAGCAAGGATCATGTGAAGAGCTGCCTATCCAGGGAAGACAGATTTATATCCTAGAGATGGGTGGACATGGAACAGAATAATGGAATTGTTTGTGTTGGAAGGGACCTTCAGGATCATCTTGTCCAACCCCCTGCTATGGGCAGGGACACCTTCCACTAGCCCAGGTTGCTCCAAGTCCTATCCAACCTGGCCTTGGACAATTCAGGAAGGCTCAGTGCCAAGATTTAAACAGGATCTGAGTAGATAATCACAGCAGGATCAGTGGGATGTGCTGATGTCCTGTTCCCTGTTGGTTCCCAGCCTGTTGCCCCAGAGGGAGGTGAAGGGAGGCTCCGTCTCGTTGCGTGAGGAGCGGGTCAGTGTGTGCACAGAGCCCAGACCTGCCAAAAACTTGTCTGTGAGTCAGGGCAGTCTGCTGGAGTCAGCAGCACTGAGATGTCCAGGCCATCTGTGACACACCTAAGGCTGCTGAGCAGCTTGGCTCCATCTGGAGCTGCCGTGAGCTCGCTGCTGGCACCGCTCCTCTGGGGATGGTCAGCTGTGGAGAGGGGACATCTCTCATCCGTGTCCCTTCAGTGAGGGCACATGGCCCTTTTACTCTGGCCCCACAGCCTGGCCCAGGCTCCCATAAAGCCCAGGTTATCCACGTGGATCCTGAGCTTCACCCCATCCCTTTCATTTCTGCACTTTCTGCATTTACACTCCATACGTGACCAAGTTTCAGGAGAAGAGATTGGACAAGGCAGAGGAGCAATGGGTGGAAAATGACCGTGCTTTTTGGGTGCTGTCTGTACTTTTTGGGGGATGGCTGTACCCCAGCACGTGAGGCAGAGACCAAGATTCCACTTTTCCCTGGCTTAGCCCTTCGTGCTCACTTAAACAGAAAAGGCTGGGGAGAGAGTTAAGGATGAAAGGCCAGGCTGGGAGAGCTGGGCTTGGTCAGCCTGGAGAAAAAAAAAGGCTCTATGGAGACCTTAGAGCCCCTTGCAGTGCCTAAAGGGGCTCCAAGGGAGCTGGAGAGGGACTTTGCACAAGGCATGGAGGGACAGGACAAAGGGAGAATGGCTTCAAACTGTCAGAGGGCAGGGTTGGATTAAATATGGTATTCTCACGTGGAGATGGGGCTGCAATAACTTTTCCTGATGAAACCATCCCACCTGTGGGATGAAGGCAAACTTCACATGGAGACTTTCCCATTTTATGACCCTTCCCCTGCTCTGCTGCTCTTCCCCAGCCCAAAAGGATGCCAGGGAAAAGCAAGAACTCTGTGCCTTTGACCTCTTGAGGTCCCTCTGACCATGAGACAGGAACATCCCTGCCATGCCCAGAGCTCTGGGATGAGGAGGTTCCTGGCCTGGCCTTTGGAAACCTCGGATAGAAACAACTGGGAGGGAACAAGGGGATGGGTGGAGTCACATATCGGGGTTCATACACTTCTATATGGGGTGTCGAGCAGAGGTGTGGGGGGTATATGGGATGACAGACAGGGCTGAGGGGGGTGCAAAGATTATATCAGGTCTGTTGGACAGGCCTATGGAGTTATGCATCCACATATGGGATATGTGATACTGGGCCACAGGGATGGGGGGGGTGCATTTGGGTTGTGTAGGACAGAGCTATAGGATTATTTATCCATATGTGGAGTGTGTCACAAGGATATAGGGTTGTGCATCCACATTATGAGCACCTGGGAGACAGCCAGAAGGTTGTGCACCCATATATGGGATAAGTGGGACTGGGCTACAGGGTTAAGGAGGTGTATATGGAATATGTGGGAAAGGGCTATAGGGTTAGGGAGGTGTATATGGGGTATGTGGGAAAGGGCTATAGGGTTAAGGTGTATGTGGGATATGTGGGACAGGGTCATAGGGGTAAGGGGATGTCTGTGGGATATGTGGGGCAGGGCTATAGGCTTAGAGAGGTGTATATGGGATATATGGGCCAAAGCTATAGGGTTATGGATTCTTCTATGGGGTGTCTGCCACAGGGCTATAGGGTTATGCATTCATGGAGTGGGTGTGTGGGACAAGGCTGTGCAGTTCTGTGTGCACACATGGGACAGGTGGGCTATAGGGTTAGAGAGGTGTATATGGGATATGTGGGAAAGGGCTATAGGGTTGGGAAGGTGTATATGAGCTATGTGGGAAAGGGCTATAGGGTCAGGGAGGTATATATGGGGTATGTGGGAAAGGGGTATAGGGCTAAGGTATATGTGGGTTATAGGGGTAAAGGGGTGTCAATGGGATATGTGGGGTAGGGCTATAAGGTTGGGGAGGTGTATATAGGATATGTGGGAAAGGGCTATAGGGTTGGGGAGGTGTATATGGGGACAGTGAGACAGGCCAGCCCGGAGGTCGAGGAGGGGGACATTGACATGGGTGGGCAGTGATGGAGGGGTCAGACCAGGACCAGGTGCAAGACTAGAGCTGCAGGTCCGGTGTGGGGTCGGTGGGATGGGGGTCGGTGGGGTGGGGGTGGCCGGGGCGGGGGGCGGTCCCCCTCCATCCCCCCGCGGCGCGGTGCCCGCTCCCCGCTCGCCCTGACGGCCGCTCTCTCCCCTCTCCCCGCTCCGCCGCGCCCGTCCCTCCCTCCTTCCCTGCTCTCCTCTCCTCCCTCCAGCAGAGCCTCCGCCTCCGCCTGCCCCCGCCCGGCGCCTGGTCCTGGCGCGGCTGCCGAACGGTCCCGCTCGACGCCTCCCGGACCAAGTGTCTGTGTGACCGGCTCTCCGCCTTCGCCATCTTAGCCCAGCTCAGCCCGACATGGTGAGTCCCGCGAGGGAGGAGCGAGAGGGCACGGGGAGGCGGGGGGGGACACACGGGGGGACAGGGAAAAGGGAAGCGGGACGCGGCCGGGATGCAGCGGAGCATCCCCGGGTACCGCGGAGCGGCGGCGGGGACGAGCCCCGGCGCTGCTGCAGTCCGGGGTCACCGGCACCGTGGCGAACACGGCGGGAGGCTTCGCATCGCCTCCCCCTTCCCTCCCCGCCGCCCTTCCTCTCCCCTTCCCCCCGACCCTGAGCGCAGCTTCGGGGACACACACACACAGACACATCGGGGGTGATGCCGCGCTGCGCTCCCCCCGTCCTCCCAGCCATCGCTCCATCCCCGTGCTGTGCCTTTGGACGTGGATCCCGCTAAATGTGGGGAGCCACCGGCCCCCGCAGGCGCGTTCGCTCCCGTGGGCTCCCCCACGCACGGCATCTTCGCACGTGTCTTATTTTTTTTGGGGGGGGGGGGTGGGATCGCCCCGCTTCGCCTCCCTCCCCGCCGCAGCTCCCTCGTGTCTCCCTCCCCGCCTCGGGGTCCTTTCCGCCGCTCCGCTCAGTTTTGGGGTGTGCGTGTGTGTGGGGGGGTCCCCACTCTGCAAGGAGGGGAGCGTGGAAGGGGAGGAGTTGTGAAGTTTTTGGCCGCTGTCGGGGACGCGGAGCCGGTGCCGCGTCTCGGACGGAGCCTCCGGAAAAAAAAGTGCGAGATTCCTAGAAATTATCACTGGGCGGCTGCACCCTGAGTCAGAGCACGGGGAGGGTGCCAGGGCACTAAAGGCGACACTGGAGTGGCCAAAAGAGGCTGCACAGGGTCCTCTCTTCCACCTTGTGCTTTTTAATTTTTTTTTAAGTAGTTCGTCCTTTTTTTGGATAGTTCCCAGGTTCGTGGAGCAAAGCCCCCCTTCCTCCACCTAAAGCTTCTCCATCTGCCTGGGCACTGGGAGTTACTGGGCCCTTGCAATTATTTACTAATTATGGCTTGCTTGTTAAATGCTGGCTTAATTCAGCAAAAGGGGAGGGGAAAAGAAGAAAGGAAGGGTGAGGGTGGTAAAGGAGAGGGGGGATCACATTTTCCAAGATGAAGGTTTGGTTTATTATTAGAAACACTAATGTATTTGGTCCACTAGTTACCATGGAAACAACATCTGCACTGAAGTGGTTTTAAAGACACAGTGTTGATTGTATTTGCCCGGGCCGTGGAGGCCCAGCCACCACAGGGCTCTGAAATGGGCTCTGGAGTGTCAGGTGTAGCCACTTTTGGGGGCCTGTTGAGAGAGGCACCAAGTTTCTGGTCTTGGTACAGATGCTCTGGTTGAAGGATGCTCAGAGGTAGGACAGGGACTGTGTTCCTGCTTGGAAGGGGTCTGGAATGGGCTGGTTGCTTTGACGTTGGCATCTCTGCACCCGTCTTCTTCCATGGGTCTTTGTTTCCTTGTCTTCCCACCGTGAACCAAGTGGGCACTGTGAACCAGCCTGCTGGGCTGGTGCTCTCCAGGAATGGGATCCAGCCTGCTGGAGGTGGACAGGGTGAGCTCAGGTGAGCCAGGTGGGAGCCATCCCCTGCCCTGGGAGCTTGCAGGGCTGTGTCCTGCCAGCAGCAAGGCTTCACCCTTCATCCCAAGCTACAACAACTCAAGTGTCTGGCTCAAGAGTTTGTGATGACCCCCACGGTGATGGATGGCTGAGCATTGTCCTACATGGGAAGGACTCCAAGGTGTCCTGACAAAGTTTAGGGAGATTGCATGGCTGGAGAAAATAAATTGGGATTTCTGCTGCAGGAATGCTTCTGAGGCAAAGCCTGGAGTGAAGCGAGCCCAGATGTGCAGCTGAGCTACTGGTGAAGGTCCCCTGCTGTTCCATCTTCTGGGCAGAGGATCAGGCAGTGTGGGAAAAGCAAAGGGAATCTTTGCCTTGGCTCTGAAGCAGAAGTTTCTCTGGTGGAGGCTTTATGTTCACACAGTGCTTGGTATTATTTAACTAAGCAGCCTGGGGACAAAATGGTTAATTTGACATGGCCAGACACTGCTGCTCACTCAGCTCCAGGTGTTTGGAGTGTTATCTGGATAACACAGGGTTGGTGTAAGAATTTTTGCATCTGAGAGTGGGCTTGTCTGCAGGAGGATGCAGGTTCCTTCCCCCAGGCATGTTTTATTATATCTGCAACTAAACTCGCAGCTCCTCCTTTGGGGTTTAGGCCTAAAATTACTTCTTTCCTCCTCTTTCCAACTCCACTGGCTGGGTTATGTTTTCACAACTCATTTTTTCCCAGCCTCATGAGCATCGGGATGAGGCCTTTGGCCATGTTTGGGGGAAAACTGGGGCTTGGATGTCTCCTGAGTCCCCCCTGCTAAGCAAAGCCAAGGGTTTGCTGATGCTGTGGAGCATCATCCAGGCTGAGCTCAGGTGAACCAGCTGGGACCCATCTCCTGCCCTGTGAGCTGGCAGGACCGTGCTCGTCCAGGTCCTCATTTCCTTGGTTTCCTCACCAAATCTCATTCTGAACAAGCCCACGTTGCCTCCCGTCCCCAGAGGTGGCATCTCGTCATCGTTGGTGTCTGCGGTGGTGACATTTATGGTGCCGTTTTTCATGTGCCTTTGGAGCTCTCAGGACAAGAAGCTCCGTCCGCCTGGGTCATTAATATTATTTATTGCTATAAATCTCCCTTCTGGAGTCTTTGGCCCTGGCAGTTTGAAATATTTGTAACCCTGGTATGGGCACAGCTTCTTTGCAGGGAGAAAAAAAAACGGCTATGAGAGGATTTTGGGATGACTGTTGCTGCTGATTTGGACTTGCCAAGGACAGTTTCCCTGCTTTGGGACCTGAGAGTTGCTCATGTGGCAGGGAAAGGAAGCAGTTTTCCTTGATTTCAGTGAAGCTAGAGGCTGAAAATTCTGTGTTTTGAATCAATTTGGGAGGCAGACATCCCTAAGCCCTGATGGAGCTGTTCAGATCCAGCTCAAAAGCTGGAGTTCAGACTTGTGTTTGATTTCCCTTGGACCCTGCTATTTCCAGAGGCAGCCTCTTGCACTGGTTTGGCACAACTGCTGTTTGACCATCATGAAAGATTAAAACCTCTTAAATTAAGGAACACAGACAAGCATTTTGGGACTGTCTTTTCGTTTAGTTTTATACCCTGCCCGGCCTGGGAGGGCAATGGCATTGACATGCTGTGGTGCTACACCTGCATAATAGCAGTGCTAACAGGGAACGAGGGCAAAAGCAAACTGCAGAGCTGCATGGCAGGCTTGTGGTGGCGTTTTCTCAATATTTCTTGGTGATTTTTGGAGGTGGGAAGGAAGTAGAGGAGGAGCCTGAGGGTGGGCAGGAGAGACTTTCACTCTTTGGTTGTCTCGTTTGAGTTTGGTGTTGTCTCTGCTGCCCACCTGCTTAGGATTGGCCTTTATGAAGCTTTAAAGCCTGGTTCAAGGCCAGGTTGGATGGTGCTTTGAGCAACCTGGTGGAAAGTGTCTCTGTCCATGGCAAGAGGGTTGGAATGAGATGATTTTTAAGGTCCCTTCCAACCCAAACTGTTCCGCGATTTTATGATTCGTGCAGCACTTAGGACTGTAGTAAGTCTGCACAAATACCTCTCTACTCTCTCTCCCCCTCCTTACTCCCTTGTCTGCAGAGACAAGGCTGATCAGAATGAGCTGTGCTCTCATTTCTGGTGTTAGCAAAGCTTGAGAGCTGCTGGTGGCAGCAACTTGTAGGGCTGCAGAGTTTGTTGTGTCTGTGGTAAATTTTTGGAACATCTCACGTCTGTGTCAGTGTTTACTGACAGGCAAACCGTGACCTGGGAGGGTTGTAGGGCACCTGGACAGTTTTGTGGGGTGTATTGTAGCAGAACAAACGTGGATATGCATTGGCAAGGCAAGGGAGTGCCCACAATGAGCAGATCTGTGGTAGGTTTAGATTGGATATTAGGAAAAATTTCTTCATGTAGAGGTTTGTCAAGCGTTGGAATAGGCTGCCCAGGGAAGTGGTGGAGTCACCATCCCTAGAAGTGTTTAAAAAACATGTGCTTGTGGTATTTGAGGACATGGTTCAGTGGTGCTGGGCTGATGGTTGGACTTAATGATCTTAGAGGTCTTTTCCAAGCCTCATGATTCCGTGATTCCGTGATTCTACATCCCAGGATGTTGCAGGAGGGTTTGTGCATTGTTATCTCCAGTTTGCATGAATGGAAAGCACCTTTCATGGTGTGCTCCCTGCCCATGGGGACACCACCTTTGGAGCTCCTCTCTCAACTCACATTTCCCACTGTGTTCGAAGCAGAGGATAAGAAATCCCTTTTACCCTTGGGAAATTGTGAAGCCTGGAGAGTAGACTCTCAGTGTCCCTCTTGGCTGTGGGAACGGAATCAACACCCAGGTCTGGTGTGATCATCCCAGCATATTTTGGGTTGGAAGGCACCTTTAAAGTTCTTGGTGTACCTTGAAGATCTTCCCTCTGAAAGGATTGTCCTGTGCCACGGGAGGTCTGTGTTCTTCATGGAGAGTGCACAGACACAAGGTGGGTTATTTTAAGCTCCTAAAACTCTGTAGGGCTCTGCTTGCTCAGGGAGTGGATCCAGGTTTTCCAGCAGGAAAAAAATAAAAAAAAAATATTGATGTTAATGAATCAAATATTTTATAAGGGTGTAGCAGTTCTGACAACATTTTGATGGAAAATTGTAGCAGTTTCACTTAGACAAGACTGGAGAACTTTATTTGGAAGTGAACATTTTAACATTTATATTCTTCCAGTGTTTATCACGTGAGATTTGGAGTTTGGATATGAACAAAGCCTTTTGCATACCCTGAGAACTGCCAGTTCTCATGTTTACTGCAGTTTCCAGGTTTAGTTAATAACAATGCTGCTTTTTCTGCAATATTAACTCTTTGATTCACAAGTTGGGCTTTTCTGATGAAGGCAAGTCCTGGGTTTTGTTATCCATCTCGAAGTCTTGAGGCATCAAACCCCTGCCAGTTCGTACAGTGGTCTAGGGAACAGTTTAT